CACATTTGACGCAAGTGTCGTACTTGTCGAAAGTGAGACATATATATTAAAAAGTAATACAAGCATGGAACAGGTGGTTCAAGTGATACAAGTGTGTTGGCGGGCACGTCATTTTAGGGCACCCAAGAGAGAATACCTATAGCTGTGATTAGTACAACTGCACTCATGATTGGAGTATCAAAATTAGTTGAATGACAGGCATGATATGAATTATTCGATTCTAGGTTATGCGGTTGAATAACTGAAATTCACAGAAACTAATACAATGAAGATTTTTCTGCTTATGTTCAAAATTGTTATCCCAAGCTTTTTGTGGGAATGTAACTCATCACCGTAATTCTCGACAAAATCATTTTACATATATATTATAAGATTTTAAAATGGTGTTATTATGACCAATCGGGTATGCACAATTAGGGGACTCTATTCGGCTCACTAATAACAGAACGGCTAATGGTAAACATTTAAAATAAAAGTCAAGGATCGCTAATGAGGGTTGTTTGAAATTGGTGGCTGATTAAGTAATATACATATACTCAGGGGCGTGTCTAAAGGGGAGGGGGGATCCATAGGGGCAGCTCTTCATAGTTTTTTATTTCTTAGTTTGATGAGGTAAATAAAAATACTACAAACATTGCACTCTTACTTGTTTATTCAGAATGTCAGAAGAAAAGTTGGACACGACCCTGCCTATACTGGGCAATGTTTTAATTTAAACTGTTTAAACCAGTGATTCTCAAACTAGGTTTTGAGAGCCGCATGCGGCTCTCAACAACCTTTCCTGCGGCTCTTGTTAATGCTTTAAAAATTAAATATTTTCAAAAAAAATGTTCATTGAAAACTAATCGTTGACTCGAAATTAAAATGCTGAGGTCTATTAGTCGAATGGATTCCCCCGTGTTTATTTGCGTAGCGTTGACTAACCTACAAGATGCAATAGTGACGCAACAGTGAGCGTTTTCACGGCCACTCGGACACTTTTCACTTGGAAAGATTTTAGACATGGCTGTAATCATTGGCTTGCTTCCGTGGATTTTCAGTGTTTGTCGCATTCCCGGATATTATGCATAAATCAAATAACTCAATGATTATTTTAATTCTAGAGTATTTTAATTTTGTTCCAGTAATAGAAAATAGTCCCGGAATATCTGCCGATCATCTCAAGCAGCTACTGCACTTTGCATCCTCTACGATTACGACCCGCTTTGACAAACTTATTAGAAATCAAAGCTGAATTAAATGGCTGTTAGACTAGGGCGGGCAAAATCAAATCTTTTTTCGAATCGAATGATTTGAATATTTTTTATACATAACAGGGATCCAGAACGTCGGAGGTCGATTCTATACACCATTTAGAAATTGATAGAAACATTGAAAAGTCGACAAAAAAGCGTTTTTTTTACTGGTTAATTATATCATATTCGCTGATTGTCACTACGATCGTTTCGGCGGCGATATCCTAAAGTTGGTATTCTATATTCTCGCCCTTTCTCGTTTTTTGCAAGAATAAGCGGTCGGCGAATTTCGAATTTTCAAATTTCTAATATCCCCTTGCGTTCATATCAGCGACAGCTGTTGAATACATTAAGGGCTGATTTCAAAACCAAATTAATTTTATTCTGAGTTTTATCCTCTGCCTTGGATTTGATCTTCCTTATCACCGCTTGTAAATTAAACGTGTCTGTTTAAAGTGAACGGTAACCGAAATGCAGATATTTAAAGGATAATTGAGTTATCATGCTTTTCTATGGTGTTCGTGTTATTTTAGTATTAGATAGATAAACCTAGCAAATTTACGATTGCGTGAATCCTGAGTGTTGATTTGAAAAAAGTGATTAAATAAATTGGCAATAAAGGCATTTCTAAGCCTTCGTGCCTAATAGAGGGCCAGACGCTATTTATACCTAATTCCTTCAAGTTTTAACATTTTTTTTTCAACAAAACATCACCCCGATGGTTATTATAGCTAAAATACTTACTGAGTAATGCTCAATTTTCTCTACGGAATTTGCAAATTCAGCACTTCACCTAATGATTTTGATTATGTCATGCTTTAAGGCTTAATTATTACCACCAAATGCTTCAAAATTTACCAATTGTAATCATTTTCGATGATAATAGACGCAACAATTCGTGAACGAGTCAGTGTGCATTGTCACAACGAAATTCACTTTGATTTTACGTTCTACTCCGGGCTCAACGGCCATGCATGGTCGATTACGATGTTACCTATTCAAAACATTACTTGGCCAAGGATGGAAGGGATCAATAAAGAGCTAATACAAAGTGCTTTAAAGATAGTAGGACATGACATTTCTTATCTGGTTACAACTTAATCAGTATTTTTCATACAAGTAACTCATACCAGCTTTTGAAAAATCTTTTGGTCATTTTTAAATCCATGCTATTTACTTAACTAGAGTTTTCTAACGACCTAAAATAGCCTTTTTCACAATGAAACGCCGAAAAGTTATTTTAACATTTAATTTCAATCAACTTTATGTTCGGTAATGCAAGAAACGGCTAATGACATGACACCAAGCATGCGGAGTTTAAAATCTGAGAAATTTATTTTAAATACCTAATCTGGTTTGATGTTTATAAATTTACGGAACGGGTACGTTTTTTTTTGCAAAATAATGATTTGAAACGATACGTTAATTAAGTGCGAAGATAAGCATATAACGCCATAACACAAAGACAACGACTTTTTTTCTGATAGCGAGCGCCGTTGGGAAATCTCGCACAAATCACGATTGAGTTGGAGACGCGCGAGTTCGGTGTCCAAGCAGAGCGGTGCAGGTCACGTGGTACCGGATATTCGAATAGTAAAATGTCAATTGAATATTTTATTATTCGAATATTTTGCCCAGACCTAGTTGTTACGTGTGTTGTTGTTACGATGACTTGGTATTTTAAATACGCGCTTAAGGTTTGTTGCTATTTTACCTTGCGTTGTATTTGTGCGGCTCTTCATAACTTTGAGGTCTGAAATGCGGCTCTGGGACTAAAAAGGTTTGAGAACCACTGGTTTAAATAGAATTTTATGACAATGAAATTCTCTAAAAACAGCTGGATACAACATGAATAAACTGAACTGCAGTGCACATGGGGAAGAAAAAATTTGGGATTGTTATGAACTGTAATACATAGCTTTGTATGTGCACCTGACGTGGGGCTTTTATTTTCGTGTTACAAAAGCAACAGTGGAAAACAATAAGCCTCGTGCCAAAATTAAATTTAACGCAATCTCGACAAATTCAGTTAGTTAATTTTAGCTGAAACATCAAAATTTGGTTTCAGATTGGTTGTGGCAGAATCAGGCGGGCCAGATTGAATTACACAACGGGCTGGATTTGGCCCGCGGGTCGTATTTTGCCCATGTCTGGTATATATGCACAGGGAAAATTTATTCAAATATATATATATATATATATATATAAGCCCTCAAAAACTACGGCTTGTAGTTCGAATATATATATTGTATTGTGCTCGAAGTAACTTTATACGAGTGTGTACACCTAAAATTTGAGGTTTTTTCACTCGACATTGCTATATTTTTAAATATATATACATTTTATTTTCCGCCGAAAATATGTGGTTTCAGCTAGCTTACCTTATAGTTATTATAGCGGACTTTGTTCCTCAGGGCTCTCGTCCCCACAGCGGTGAGCAGAATCGAAGAACATCGGACATTGGGAATGATTTGAATTATCATATCATCTACCAATCTTTTTTCGAGACGAAATCGTGATGAAATTACTCGTACAATATTAAAACATTCCAAACTTCCGTCATAACTGTGAAATATGAGATGTGGACGAGTTCGTGACACAGAAAAATTACGGTGCGATCCAAATGAAGCGTATGTAAAGAATGGAAATAATTGAAAAAAATAGCACATATATATATATATATATGAAAATCACGTTTTGTAACAATCTCACCAGGTTTCTGTTACGTTCAGCGTCGCGGATGTTTAGAAGCGTTTCAATGTCTCCCGGCAAAAATACCGTTACTAAAACAATAGAGATTTTGTCTTTGTTTCCTTTCTTAGTCTGTTCATAAAAGAAATCGAATCACACAAAACAAAGGATGGCATCTCCGAATCACGGCAGTGCGCTAACAAAGTCACACCCCTTACTTCAAGTCACAACTTAAATTGCAGCCAATACAACTGTCAATACTCATAATTGTTTAAATAAGTATACACGATAAAAGTTTTGAGATGAGTTTGACTAGGCATATAGATATATATATAAACGCGCAACACCGTTTTGGGAAAAGGGAATGAATGATAAAGTTCAGCATGGTTACCTTTCATAACCATTGTGCGGTTGACGCGTTCGTTCGATAAAGTATGCCTAACTTACTAAATCAAAAGATTTGATTGCTTTTCTCAAATGCAGTCGAACGATAATAACTAGGACAAAAACAACAACAAAAATACCAAAACGATCCATAGGTCCACTACGTGTCCAATAATCAGATATCCCCGAACAGATCGATTTGAGACTACTGCGGTCATTATTTAGACAATAACGTATTAGTTAGGGTATCTCTACCTGATTTCAACGATATCTTAAACAACTCCCCATAAATCGCATCATATTTGTTCGGCAGTATTCGACTACAGCAAGGGCCCCCAAGTCAATTCCGAGGTTATCGCTTTAATCAGGTTCAAACCCAACCAGCTGATAGATCTTGTAAAGCAAATGTTACATACCGAACCGATGATCTTGCATCCCAGGAGATTTGGCGCGCGTCAATTGCGGGGATCAGAAAAGCCAACGATCACGAGCTTGTTCTTCAATACGGAAGAAACACAATTGGCTAAATATTTCGCAGAAATCGCACCCATAACAAAATCCAAGCTTTCGATGGCAACAACTCAATTTAACTGACGCAATTACTATTTACTCTCATGAGAACCACGATGGAGAGAACTCGAACAGATGAACCCGCTTTTCTCTGTCACTCAAATATGGGCAATAAACATGTAAAGTGTATTTCTAATTTATTGTATTGTGCGTCTTCAGAAAAAGATAATATACGGAACACGGGCATCAGTAATATGAAAGCGGTACAAATTGCTAATTTTGATAACATATTCGCGATACGGACAATGTTCAACAAGTATGTATATGTCGGTTTAGAACGGTTCATATATACTTTATAAAATTATAACCCAAAAAATGTGAATCGAATTTACAGAAAAAGCAACACCTTGTTTTGAGAGGTAACCAAGTATCAATAATTCATTACATAGGATTCTCAAATAGCTTTGTGGCATGAATGTCTGGTTCATGGCGAATGATAAATCAAATTTCCCATAATCAGTACCGCAATGTAATTTCAGTAAGCTAGTTTTAAAAAATTAGCTGAAAACTTACTATATAGATATAACACAATGGTGGTGCATAAGATGGCGTACTAGTAGAGCAATCACAAAAGAGATTTTTAATAACAATAATAAGAGCAATTACCAATATTTAAAACAATATGTCCAAAATAAAAGTGCAGCTCAATCTGCTACAATACGATTGTAGCCGCAAAGTACCTGTAAAGATAGATATTCAATTCAAAATGAAAATAGATGAAAGAGCAAAGGAGGGGATAGATAGGACAAAGTTGAAACCACTTTATTCATACTTGGAGTAGAAGATTTTCATTAAAAATGTAAAAATAAAACAAACATAGATCCTAAAAAGTAGATATTAAATTTTTAACTACGGCATAAAACAGACTTATGTAAAAATTTATCCTACAATCTTAGGTAAAACTGTGCGGTTAGATGTATCAACCTCTTTGGCTGTAATAATTGGCTTGTTGGATGAACCTTGCCTGTGTTGCAAGTGATGTGCAGGGTGGTGGACGGAGGTAGTTTTGCTCACAAGTGCTTGTGCAGTGCTGTTTTGCACACCCCGGACTGCAGTCGGGGGTTTTGGCAATCTCCTTCGCAACCATCCATGGCGTAGTGCCTGACTTGGTGTCATGCGTAGGGAAGGGTCCCATTCCAAGCACCGTTTCAAGAAGTCAGTAAATTGGGCATCATCACACCCTTTAAGTGCAGTAGTCCATTCTTTGGTGCCCGGGGGTCCTCGTAGCTTCCCACGCCGAGACCTGCCAGGATTCATAACTGTACGGCCATCAGATGAAACTGTTACTAGGCAGTAACGTGGATGGCCTTTGGAACTGATAAAATTCTTTGCTCGTTTTGACTGCTCTACCAGACGAGAGGGGGGCATACCAAGTAACTCAATTGTGCATGCAAGTTGGTCGCTCTCATCTTCTCCAGGAAGCAGAGGGTACCCAGTTAAAAGCTCAGCCAGTATGCACCCAAAACTCCACATATCAATGGGCATACCGTACTTTGCTCCCAAAATCACTTCAGGAGCACGGTAAAACCGAGACTGAATGTAGGTATAAACCCTCTGATGTTCATAGCAAGACGAACCGAAATCAATAACCTGTAACAATAACAGGCTTTAGATAACAAGCAAAACATTTCTGTTATACAAGAAACAATTATCCAAATGTTGGTAATTTTTTAATGGATGTTAACTCGACAACAGTCTTAGCAAAACAAGCTGGATGACAATCAAGAACATCTGAAAGGACTCTAAACCAAAACCCATACACCAAATAATTTTCATAACATATACATGTATCAAATTATAGAGTCAAGTACTGCTATGCTTTATTTCAAATAATTTACCCTCTGGCAATACTGATACTCATGTCATATACATGACAATGAATATAAGAGATAAGAATGCTATGTATACTTCAAGGTAAGCTATTATGCTACATAAATGTGCATAAGCAATTGGAGATTATCTGAATTATTTTGAAATTTACTCCTAAACAAAGGACATGTTATGTAACACAAGTTAATGAAATGGTGACTAGTAAATCAATCATTCAGGTAAATTCATGAGTGCCAATTAACTAAATATGGCAAAATGCGCAAATTGTATTGGAGAAATGCCATTATATAAATTATGTACAAATGATTTATTCATACTGAATAGATTACCCGCTCAAAAGCCCAGCTGTTACGTGTTAATTATTGAATACCGGTATGCAAATTATGTTTGGTGACATTATTATACAGAAATCAGGATAGTTTGAAATTTATGAATTTAGAATTTTCTAGAATTAATTTTGATCCCAATCATTCTAAAAATATTCTGTTAAGAGTAAACATTATATATACAAATTGTACTCAATAGACATTGGCAAAAATACTACAAGGCAAATCATGTCTTATAATCTCAGAAACAACAACGAGATCATGAATATAGGTTGTTACTCATTAAATCACATACCTTTATTCCGCTCCTGCCTTGCTGCTTCAATAAAATATTTTCAGGCTTCAAATCACAGTGAATTATACGGTTTCTGTACAAAGAATCAAGGCACTGAAGAATGGAGTGAGCAAATTTACGAACAAGCTGTAAAAATAATAGGATTTTATTACCATAGCCATTTTATTACACAGTTTTAAAGCTGTGAATGAAACAAATTATTTATTAACTCAGTAAAGCTGAATTTTATAAAAATCAAGTAGATCTTGAGAAAATTATGCATTTCATGTTAAAATTCTTGCACAAAAATACATCTACATACAGCAAGTGTTTGCTTGTGTCTCCTATAACAGCAGTGTGGCTTTCTTCTATTGGCTTGCTTCCAGAAATATTTAAGCAAAATTGCCACAATAAATCAATTCACAGTATCGATCATTGAAATAAAATGTGAAATTCTTATCATGACATTCTTCTTGATAGTGTGATATAACAATAAATTATGAGACGAAGCAATAAGCAATTTCCTCATAGCATAATTGTTACTAATCCATCATCTACATGGATATTAAACCCTTAGTAATTAATCAAAGATTGACCTATGAAAATTTTATGAAAGCATTCATGTAATAATTCTAATTATTCCCTGTTAATAAAGAGTATTGGTATTCATATACACCATTAGTATTTAATAATAGTAATATTTGGCATGTTTTCGTAAAAGAGCATAATTTGTTATGAATCTATCAATTATAAGCAACATTGATCCAGTATTAACCACCCACTCTATTCTCTTTATTCCATATAAAAGCATATACAAGTTGATTGAAGAGCAACAACACAATACATATATAAATATATAATAAAGACTGGCAGTCTTGGGTGTGTTTTTACTTCTTTCCAGTCTGATGACACTCAAAGGTTGTTAGGAAGCAATGTATACACTAGTATTCAACAAGTAATATACATTATACGTAGCCAACCAAGCAGATAAAATGGAACAAAAAAAATGTGAGAATTGGCTATGACAAAGTGGGAATGAGTAGATCTTATGAACAGACCACTGGAATGGAAAATTAGAGTAAAAAAATCAATGCTGAATGGTCAATTTTTAGCTGTCTAATTAAAAATCCAATTTCGTTTAATACATTTATCAAAGCGCTGCATGATTTAATGGCAGGCCAAAAAATGTATGTCTATGATTAAGAGTAATGGAACAATTTATTTCCTATATTCAAATACATTGTATATAGAAATACTTGAAAATAAAAACGTTTACAGTATATACCTGAAGTGAAAAGCCTTGGAACTTATTTTTCTTTATCAACTCATAAAGGTTTATGCTGAGCAATTCAAACGTCATACATATATGATTTCGGAATGTGAAATTCTCCAACATGTGAATGACATTCATATTGTTATCCTGTTGTGATAAATTTAAAATAAAAGATGAACAGAAATTTCTAGAATCACAAACAAATATTTGCTCATAAAACAAACATTCTAATACGGTCAGTTGGTCATGGAAAAACCATAAATTTCTACAGAATTACACCAAGAAACAAAGCATAATGTTATATATTGTAACATTGCCAGGATAATCTTAATTACTGTTAACAATAGCTGGTAATGAAAATATTGATTAAATGGGTAGACAGCTTCACAAATTTTCTATATTATAATCAGTTTATATAGATTAGACTTTCCATAAACATGAAAAGCTATGCATAACACCATCTAACGACATTCTCCTTATGAATAATATATGGGGTGTTGATGAGAATTTATGCTGCAACAATACTGTATCAAATTTACTGGCATTTTACAAACATTGAATCTGAAATTGTACTCATCAAGTTGTCAAACTAAAGCATAGCCTGCTCTTGAACCATATAGCAGATTTATTCTTTGATTGATGGCATACAATTTTATTGTACTATGAAGTTTGACATAAGATGATACTTACCACCATATTCTATTGAAATTTTTCACAGTTATTCTATGGGAAACAATCACAAAATGCAATAGGAGACATATCATCTTATGCAATTTAATATTTATAAGTGGTGTTTTGAGGTAAAAGGGCATGGTAGAATATGATATGAGAGGAAGTATACTTCGTTCTCCGGATATTTAAAAGGTAGACAAATCTTTATTACAGCATTTCCAAACAAAATTAGAAACGTGATATGCCGGTAAGCTGCACTGCTTATAACATTACAGCTTTGAGGAAATTTTCCATGAATATAACTACATAATGTGTGAAAAGTATATTATTATTATACACATGCATATATTACCTTATCTTGCTTTTTCAAATGCTCCAAAATTCTAATCTCCTCTGCTGCTTGTCTATGAAATCGTTTTTCATTTCGAACGATTTTTAGAGCAATATGTTGTTGAGTTTTATGGTCATATGCTTTTAAGACCTGCCATGTTAAAAACAATGAAATTGTAATATTAACTATATTATGTACATTGAGTACGTGATAAAAAAGTGAACATCATAATCCATTAATCAATAACGATATTCTTGGGATTGAATATCGATATTCCTGAAAATAAGACATAGTTATAAATAAGTAAATCATAAATTTAGATTGCATAAATTTAGATTTAAGCAAAATTGCAGAATGATAAGGCAATTGCAACAAAACTAAAATAATACCTGTCCAAAACTTCCTTTGCCGATTATCTTTAAGACCTCATAACGATATGTGACGTGGTCATGAGCAACAGGAATGTATGAGCCTTGCTCGTCATCAAATCCATTATTGTTAGCACCACCTACAACACCCTGTCTTTTCTTCGCTGTCGGACCAGTGTAGAAAATTTGGGGGTAGCTAAAAATTTCATGATGCTCATAGGAAGTCAGTTTGTGCATGTATTGTTTCATTGCTTGTTCAGGTGTGAGATAGTTTTGTTGTGTTTTAGATTTAGCTGAACCACTGGCAACTGAACCGTTTTCAACTGGAGGTGAGCCAGCTATTCCTTTTCTTTGTTGTGACATAGCTGCCAGTGCTCTGCGACTTGGTGAACCACTTAATTGTACTTGTTCATTGTAAACATCCTTAGCACGTGTGTCTTTAACTAATGGCAAGGAAGGCCGTCTGCCTGCACTTCCATAAGTATGTTTGGTCTGTCGAGCTGCAGCTCTAGTACCATCGCCATGTTCTTCATACAATTGCTGAACTTTTAATCCTCCTAAACCTGCGGTAATATCGTTCATCCCTCCAACTGTTTGGCTTTTAAGTGGCGGTAAACCAACATGGTTGACAGGATCTTGTACAGTCCTTGAATGATGATTGTGGTGATGGCTGTACATACTGGTAAGAATATTCTTCGTCAGCATGTTTAAAAAAACTCAATGAAGTTGATTCCTTGCTTCTTTGAAAAGCATAGTATCCTATGGCTCAGATAACAGCAATTGATAAAAACACTAAAAACCTAAAATCTTTAGTGAAAAAATGTAATTTTTCCACCTATTGCCCCATTACATCTGTCCAATAAAACACAAATATTATTTTCGAATATCGGTTATAAACTAGCATATCAATATTAAACATGTTGGACACACTTCTTTCTTTACTATAAATATAAATTAGATTTCCCAGTCTTCCCGACCTTCAATACTGCAGTGTTGGTAATAGCACAAATTTAATTTTAACCCTGAATACCATTTCAAAACATATAAATCACATCCCTTTCCTTTGTGTTGCCAACAATACTCTTCCGGTTAAATCACAACATTTTATCAGTTGTTCCTTGCGGTGAGTAAAGACAACTGAACGTCACCATGGGCTTTTTAAAAATTTTGGCACCATTCGACGTCTAGAGTAATAAGTTCGAATAAAAGTAAGGACATTTGCAGCTGTTGCATAATGCGACGACATCCCGCGAGAGACGACGAACCATTGTTGGTTTGACGCTGTCTGCGTGACGTAATCCACATATATTTGGCTAATTAGTCAGCTTTGATTCCGCCGAAATTTAAATGACGCACAATTATAATCACAAAAAACTCCCCGAAAGGATGATTTTGATACAACCATGAGAATATTAATTTAGTCTTCTACGTATGTACCCGCGGAAGTTACCCACAAATGAACAATTCAAACTATTAACTTCAGAGAACATCGCCACTGGCGTCCTGCTACCTAAGCTTGGCTTACCATTTCTCGAAATCGACTTCAAGCCGGATTTCTTCAAGTTCAAATACAATACAATACTCCCAAGATTCAAGAGGTATCAGTTAAGAATTACGCGGATAAACAAACATGCTATTTATAAAACCTAATCCGAGATTTTCTGACAAGACAGCTAGTACGCGCGACTTCTAAAATACGAATCATCGTCTCAACTACACGAGCGTGGTCTTAGTAATGAACTTAGTTATTTAAATTTTCAGCCCAGGTTGAAATTGTACAATAATTTGTACACTGTCTATTCGAACTTTATTTCGAAATTAAATATCAAGAAAGTCGTTTGCGTCGATACAAAGAACTTTTATTTAAACACAATTGAATACAATCCAACTCCGTTCTGTCTCAATAGATTGTAAAACTAATAAATTTATTATGCAAATACTTTTCGGGTCAATCACACAGCGAGGCAAAACACCTGTCAATTTTCGGACTACTGTCTAATTATTCAAACCTCGGAATTTTTGATCAAACAAATTCAAACCCGCGCACATAAAAAAAATCTCTAGCCTGCTAACATATCTCCTACTCTTTGTATAAAAGATTGTCTGCAATCCAGTGGCGCTAGAAACTTCACGTTTGCACTTTCAAGGTATTGCCTGCATCCTCAAAGGAAATATGCCAATTGCTCCGCTCCGAGTTACCCTTTCACGCGGTGTAACGGTAAGCATAGGTTAATTAGCTTAATATGTATGTGAAAACCAATTGCAGTTATTCTCCAACGCTAGTAAAGTTGCCCTGTAATCATATACTCCGCAACTATGATATTCCCATCATTCATAGGGCACTGCTGTGCTGGATTCATTACGGGCAAACTCAATTAGGTTTCAGAGGTATTAAATGCTACAACCTTCAAAAATAATCAGGTAAATTCTCGTGACGACGTATTTCTAGACGACGAATCATGACCACGCACTGTTACACACTGCTTGTCATACAACAATACTGGTCAATCATTTTAACAGTTTCGTGATGAGTATGTGTCAAACGAACACAGATTGACTGACAAGCGTGAACACTTCCGCGTCGGTTAAAAAGTACACAGAAAAAAACGGTCACGGTATAGAACTGCTTCATTTGTGCTGCCTTGATCCCTAATACCAATCGGCAAAGCCTTGCAGGTATGTATCGAAAAAGAGTCATCCATACAGGGCCCATCGAACTTAATCAGCGAAACATTCGCCCCCGAATCACATATACCGAGTCGAAATTATTGATCAAGAAATACAATTATAAATCAAATATTGTTTAGAATTATATTACCTAGGTCAATGATAATTTATAATTGAAAACTTGAGACGTGATTTCTGCCAGATAATTATGGCGCTGGACGTTCGATGATAGATAGTTTCGCTACTTGCAAAATAACGCCTGCTTTGTTTGTATATTAGCGCGAAGAGTTTCGATGGCGATATACATTTCTTCACCATTTATGTACCGCACCAATTCGTTAACACTTATAAAAAAATAGGTTTACAGTACAGCATTAAATTCCAATGCCATACCGCGAAACAATCGGCTCATGATAACAACACTTTAATTTTAGGTCAGAGAGATTTATTAATATGCTTACTGGGTCGTAAAATGACCACTCATATTATAACAATTACCATGGCGCACCATATATCATCTCTGTTAGATCTAGCAATAAGTGGCAAAAGCATAATGCACGAGCATAAAGTTCATAGACATTGATTTATTTGATCGGACCGCGCTAAAATTAAGGATTACGTAGTTTGTGTAATTTACTGCACTTGTTTCGGCATTATTTTATTTCCAACTTTTGAAATTGTTCAAATATCTATCTTAACGAATAGGCCTTTTTATTTCTGTGTCCGGGTCTGAAACGCACAATTAGACGCCGACTAAACCATTAGGTGATAATCTTTATCATAGCAAGAGTTTCAAAGTGAATTGTGGTTGCAAACTAAAAGCTCTTAGCTGAGGGCAGTGGGTCAGATCACAGATATCTCTCGCGGTAGACAGAATGAATGCCAAGTCAATCTCTGGGGTAATCTCGTAACATTATGTAGAGTCGGGTGCTGGTATTAGAATTTTATTTATAAAATAACTACAACTTGATAATCTTGCGTTCTGATGGAGGAATTTAATACTACAGATTTTTTAATATATTATCTTTTTTGCGGATGAAATTTAGCGATTGCTTCGAATCGAAAAAAAGACCGCGGTGAGGAAGTTTGATATTAATTCGACGTACAACGTACTTTCTGGAACAGTTAAACAAAAACAAGATCCCGAATCATCATAAAACCTTACATTACCATTTACCATAGTCGGGTCCCTTTTATTACGAGAAATGCGCGTATATGCTTTCTAAAATGTTGGAATAATATTGATAATTACCATTAATTAGTAGTCAAAAATAGGTTGCCAATACTTTGACAAGCAGCACCACGATGTACCAATGATAAGCAACAAAAAAATTATACGTAAAGTACCGTAGCTAAAACTTTTTTACATTAATGCACAACATAATTAAATAAATAATTACTTAAGGCGCCATGTATAAATGTGGGGGCAACCCGGCATTGGGTCGTCGTCCACAATAGGTAACGAACACATCTATCATACAGTCGATATAGACAACATACCAGAGATCAGGTGTTATGAATAAGACAACACAGAAACTATCCTTTGATCTTATATATAATTTCACATTACTAAATACGTGCAAGCTCTTCGGGCAGTCAGTTTGATAATGCTTTCTAACGACGCAGCAACTAATTCTTTTTACTTAATATCACTCACAGGGCGGCTGAGAATATGATAATAAAGAGCTATACTGAATTCTATGTAGGTAATATAACCTTTACTTCATTCAGAAACGCACTGAACACGACCGGTCTTTAATAAAAATATCCGTGTACATTTTTCAAAAGCTGACAGATACATGGATACGTGTATACAGCTCGCTTCTATTGTTCGACTAGTTTAGGAACGCTGAAATCCTAGCAATGCCTGTTGCGCCTAATAGGATAATATTACATTTGTCCGTCCGGATCAATTTTCTCTATACCATTGCCCAATTCGCTAACCAATTCGAGTCGTTCATGCTTGGGCCCCATTGAGAGAAACGTATTCCATGCTTTTGGGCGTATTATATTAATAAAACACCTCGCAATCCCAACCGACCTTAACATGGCCTAAGTAATTGCTATTGGAAAATCGTATACGAGTCGTACCTAGTTAATGCCAATTAAAAGAGCAAGTCGTCTTTTAAAACCACTGCCCGCAGCCATAACCTCATTATAGCTCTATAACGACAGACCCTATTAAAAGATTGAACGTTCCAACGTTGACACGAGAACGAGCTTGCGTTAAAACTGACAACAGCGCCTCACGTATATCTATTTAGAAGACATTATTTTAGATCGTACTAATGTGACAGCCAATAAAACTGATTGATGATGATCTGATTTACGACATTGACTCGGACAGTGAACAGTTTCTTGTTCAGGAGTAGAAATGAACAAAAATAAAACCTTTACATTCATTTGTGTAAATATTGCAATTGCAGAGCTACAATTCATTACTGAAGGTGGGCAAGAATTCATTTCTACTGAATGCACTGTATTACTTTTAAGTTTCAAATGCGGCTAAAACGAGAAACTGCACGATACATTGTAGATGAGTCACATCTTTTCAAGTATACAACTATCACTTCAGTCATAATATACACATTCATATTATAAAAGTATACTAAAACTATCCCACAGTGCACACAATATAAAGTCAACATTACCATAACTGTTATCAATTTCTCTCTACTAGTACGAAGAAGTAACTCCCACACAAAATAAAGTCAGACTGATAATTCCCCAAGATGGTCTTTGTAATATTAGCCAATGTCGCGTTTGATGTGTTATGACGAATTGTACGTGACAGCAGGTGTTGTGTCTATTTAAAACTATGGGCCAAGCATGTGCGCTGGGTGGAAATTACTATTCAAGATCGACACATCTACATCTATACTTGGCAAAGTTATTGCATAAACTTGACAAAACATAATGACAACCACAGTCACTTCCAGGGTGACAAATACGTTTGTAAGGTGTTAAGAACATGCGAACGGGTGATAATTTTAAGACCTGTTAAAAATACATAACATTATAACTATATAGTGCACTGATTTTGATGTCATTTTGATATAACACTTCCACGGCAATATACATTACGAGAGCAAGTAATAAGACAAAGTTAAATAATTAAATTGGGAGCGAAGTAATTTAAAAAAAATTGTTCGCCTGAAGTTGTCCAATATATCTTGGCTAGCGTAATACGCAAAGTTTTTTTGAAAGCACTATGATTCCGTTCCGAAATTACATATAGTCCCATTCTTGAATCAAGATGGCGATTTTCACAAGTTACACGCCCAGCGTGT